AATGATAAATTTAACATAAATCTAACAAATATACTCAAAATCAACTATCAGAAATGTATTATTATTTAAATATTTAAGGAATGTATTATATAAATAAGAATGTAGGACCGTTTATATCAGTAGAGTAAAGATAACAGTCCATATATTGACCTTCTTTTATGTCGTTGTGTTAAACAAAAGTGCCATTTGTATTGCATTTAGATAAAAATATTAATAATGTTTAGTTTGATCATAGAAAGTACAGATATGTATAAGTTTGGAATTGTATATGAGTGCATGTGTTTGTTTTAACTTGTGGATTTGTGCCCCTATCAATGTATGACGTAATGATACCGCCAATTAGAGAACAGTGAATTATCAACTGGACCAATGTTGCATAAAACCTGTACAAGCAGTCTAGAGTCCTTAGCGATCCTGCTTCCCACCTAACTCTGCCTGTTGAGTCCAGAACACAAATCTCAACCTCCGCCATACGAATCATTTATTTCAAACATACTGGGTTTATATACCAACCAGACAGACCACATCGTACCAATAAAATAGGAAACAACATTTGTACAAGATTTAACCAAATGTGGCTGTGAATAAGTAATTGATAGACTGGGAATAACTCAAGAATGGTAAATTGTATTATACTAGTCTATAGGTCAAAATGGAGCTCATAATAAGAGGGACACGAATATGAATAGTTGAGTTACTTAACAATCATACGATAAAAAATATACGTATAGCATTGGTCTATAAATGGTTCCCAAAAGTTACCATTCATTATTCTCATCAGGATATAACAGTGTTGGTTGTATCATTGAGATAAACACAAAGTGATAGAGTGATTGTTACAAAGTGATTAGGTTTTAACTATTGAATACATATTATATTATCATTCGTAAATATGAATGTTGTCTCTACATATGTGGTCATTTTTGAAGTATGTAGATCAAACTAATTACATAACAACGAATTGGTTACCAACTCAAACCTCTATTTGTTGTATATATATATTTGTGTATGTTGTGTATACTTAATAATTAATCTAATACATATCAGTTTATTGGTCATTCAATATTCCATTTTTTTCTCAGTAAGCTCAACAATCAATAAATATCAGTACGATTTAAATGAGTACTGATTTATATACTTTTTAGTTGAAGCATAGTGATATTACTCAACTACCGTAACCACAATAGCTAGTGCCTAATGATTTGAATTAGCAAAGCATCGATGACTGGTTGACTATTTGAGACAGAATTTGATCCAATTAATCAGTTATAAGAAACATACACATAGATTACTCTAAGTTACTGTATTACATCATTACAACCAAATGAAATTACGTATATAAATAACCAAACAATCGAAATAATATAGTTAATCAGAAAGATTAAGAATTGAGGGTTTGGTTTGAAAAGACCAAATGAAAATGTATATATGATGTAATACTGACATAGAAGATGTAGATTAAAGTAACAAGTTAATGGATCTGTACGATTATGATAGATCCTTAGCCATATTATCTGACATTCTGAATCGTTGATTACAGTCTTCCTCCAACGTACTCATACGCTATCCAGTGTAGCACGTGGAGGTAAGCAATATGTAATAGCTATTCACAGCCTCATAAACCAATTTACCGTCTTCGCGTAGTAACCTGTGGCAAACTTCAAAGCTGCTTCAGCTGATAGTTTCATTATTTACGAACAATGCTTCAAATATACCTGTCATCAGAAACCTATATCTTCTATTTTGCTAATCTGTTTCATAGCCATAGAGTAATACGAAGTGAAGTGTTACTCAGTATACTCACTCTTTGTTTGACAAACTGACATCTCGCCTACGACTCGAGTAAGTCATGTTAGGGAAAGATAAGCTAATTTTTTGAGATTTTTTTGTGTTCCACTTTTTATAGAATTCTATTACTAAATACTGGTTCATAGATTAAAAACCCACTGGTTTGATTTCAGTTTGAGAAGTATTCTTGGACTTTATTTAAGAGAATTCAAACTCAAAATCTATTACATTAACTTATAATCAGGATGGAACAAGGACAATTACCTTATCAAAATAATATGAATTCGTTTGTCTCTCTCTTGTATCATTTTAATACACTTATCTCGATAATTTGACTTAACTCTCTGTTAAAGTGGATCTATGCAAGTATGTAGCAAATCCTCTGTTCCTTATAGACTGATTACTACTGGATAGTAGAAGTATCTTTAACTATTCTGCCATCTGATCTCTTCCAACTAATAATTTCAAGTTTTGTAAAGAATAGAAAACAGTCTATCAAAATAAATTATTGATTATTCCAATCAATATAAAACGTTATAATTCTCTCAACAGTTGACATCATGAGTCAATTGAAGCTAGACCACTACCATGGGAAACTATGGAACCACTGGACGGCCGTTTCGTCCTACCGTGGGACTCCTCAGAAGTGCACATCTATGACCCCACCTTGCGGCATTCGAACCCAAGAGCTGTCAGTCTCGCGCTAGAAGCCTCACCAACTAGACCACTGAGGCGGCATCCAACGGTGTCAATGTCTACCATCAACTAATCCACGAAATTGAGAGACACATCTACCATTGTCATCAATGAGTTACTATCTCACAACTGACCCGGTTGAACTCCACTAGTCACTACTTCTCACTTTAACTCCAGGATATACGTCTTGAAGCCAGTCACTAGTGAGCATATGTTGATTAGTATCACTTATTTTGTCCTCCAATACGAACCAATGAATGCTGATCTCATGATCTGAAATAGAAATATTCTCTTTCATCAAATCTAAAGGCCCTTCGATTTGATCTTTATCGAAATTGTGTTTCCTATTCACTTACGTAAATGTTTCCATTCTTAATGATTTTCTATATAAAGTCTACTCGTCACATAAGCCCTTAGGACTATCTACAACATTCTTACTGTTCAATAACTGTATAGCACTCAGTAATTTCGTTCATTTATTGATTCAATGCTGCATATAATACCAAGCAATAAGTTTTCATCTAGTATATTGGTCTGTGCTACACAGACAATATGGAATAACTTTAGCCATGTAAAACTAAATAATTCCTTCATCTTCACTCATCAACTTACATTAATTCACATTTTTCTGTAGTTCCATTATGTACTTGTTTTATGACTACCATTTTGTATGTGTATTTATATAAATATTATTAATTTTGATCTTTATTATTTGTTAATTGGTGATTCATGGCTTGTTGTCTTTATCCTCCACTATAAAACAATGTACTTTTATTATGTTGACCTTATTCAGTTGGGTTTTTTTTCTGTCGATTCTCTTTGTCTTCACTTGATTGTTTTCTTTCTCCTCGTTTTTAACCATCATCCGGATGTTCAACTACATTATATGTTAAGATATATTATAGGAGTGTATGGAGGGGGTTTGATAGATTATAATTTGAATATGTTAAATTATGATAGACTTGACATTAAGGTTTCATTTAAAATACTACTAATTAAGTGAAATGTTAAATTAAACATAATTTATTATCTGTCCGAACTCAACTCTTTTTGTATACAATCCCAGGAGAGAATAGTAAAGCTAAAAATTTCGGAAGAGATAAATAGGCGAGTGAGGTTGAATTAAGACGTGTAGGTAGGCGCAAACTAACCTGACTAGGGTTCTTGCGATAACTACGATTGGTGTTTGTTGGATCTTTGGGTGATATGGTTGTTGTAGCGTAGATCCCTTTATAGATCTTGAGCTTCATTATCATTCCATTTTTTTTTTCATGCTTCTAATTTGTCTTTGCTTTTTGAACAAGTAGTGTCTAGTGTTCAATCTTTCTCATCATCATTAGTACTGGTATTATTTTGACTTGTTTTGTTCTCTACGTGCTAATTTGATATGACAACATAGAGTAATACATATTACAACTGAGTAGCAGACTAAGTTTAATAAAACTCAAATTAGAAAATGTCATTGTGATTTCTTAGAGGAACTAAAATCTTAAAATGTTTGTTGTTTTTGATGTTGTTAACTCCTTTCGTCGTATTTCAAAACTACAGCATTAGTGTCTACTACAACTAGTTCAAAGAACACAACACTGAATAAAGCATCTATTTGAGTGGGGAATCTTCTGAATCATTTCAATTCTGTGAATATCTGTACGATTACTGAAATGAATGGTTACATAAACATTTTAAATCGACTCATAGTAATTACTCACCAAATTGTAGCGTTTTAGTGGCCTGAGATCTGAATCCATTTGGATCGTATATTGATCGCTATTGAAATGTACATGTCGTCAATCCTTGTATAAAGCTTTCGACTTAACTCGTGTTGGTGAATAACTCAAACAAATAAGTCAGATACGAGGATGATTTTTTGAATACGTATATTTCGTACAATTGTTAATCGACACAAACGATCTAAGAAACGAAGTGAAGAGAGAGCGAAGTAAAATGACGCCCAGTGGAGAGGGCGTGTGAGCCGACTCAACTTAACCAAGCGTGAATCTTTATTTATAGTCAGACGAAAATAAGTTACAGGCATGTGATGAGTATGAAAATCAATGTACGCATATACGCTCATATAAAAACAGTCAAAGTTGATAGGCAAAAAATTGCCAAGGTCAAAATGTGATTTCAGAATAATGGATAAACTGGTTTGTCCAGAAGCTAGAATAAGTTTTGTGGACTTAACACAGCAACCGACACTACAATGTTTTTTTCAACACTTTAAACACATATTCAAGACAGAATAAATCCATGTGCATCATCTTAACTAATTCTTAATGGTTTCACCGAACGTCCTTAATCATTGATAGAGCACAGATACGTGGAAAGTCAGACGATGGAAGGATTATCTGTATAAGAATGTTTTGACAAAGTTTAGTGAATTAATTACTATTACTAACAAGTACATTCATTAATAATTTCACCAGCTACCTACTTTTCATCTTCCAGTTTTTCTACCTAATTACTTATCTAACCGTTCATTATCTCGTTCGAGTTGATCTTTTTTTCTCTTTTAGAAATGGTCATAAGTATACACATGAAAGTCGTAAACCGCATGCGTGTCATTTCTGTGATAAATCCTATAGTGATTCACGTTCACTTCGACGACATTACGAAAATGCTCATCCCGAAGAGAATGAACGTTGGATGTTATTATGTCAAGCAACAAATGGTGATACAAGTGCCTTATCTATCGCTGCTGCAGCTGCTGCCGCTCTACTTTCCTCATCAGCAGCAGCGGCGGCAGCTGCTGCAGCAGCGACGACAGGGCTTGATGCTGAATCTTCACTATCTCGCGATGGTGGTGGTGGTAATGCTGACGGCAATTCCGATAATGATAACAACGCTTCATCGTTAGCCATATTGAATGCCTTGAGTAATAGTACATCGGCATCATCATCATCTTCAGCTGGCAGTACTGGCGTTGTTTCTTCTGCAAGTGTAAACAAATTAATTGAATTGGGTAATCAAACTGGCCTATCACCTGCTGCATTAGTCGCTTTAGTCGCTTCTACAGGTTCTACGTCGGGTCTTTCTTCAAGCTTACAACAATTAGATCATTCTAATTCATCGACTTGCGTATCTAGTAAGTAGCCTAATTGGTGTTCTTATTCTTTATTGCTAATTAAAGTGTCTTTCTTCAATGAAGAGTTATGTTCGTTTTATCATTAAATTATATTTTATTCTTCTTAACACTTTATACTTCAGTAGTTGAGATCATGAGTCAACTGAACCTAGATCACCATGGAAAACTTGAAAGCACTGGATGGCCATTTTGTCCTATTGAGGGACTCCTCAGCTGTGCGCATCCACGAGCCCGCTTACGGGAGTCGAACCCAGGACCTATCTTTCTCGCGCTTGAGCGCTTAACCCCTAGACCACCGAGCAGGGCGGCATCAAACGGTGTTAATGTCTACCATCAACTAATCCACGGAATTGAGCGACATATCCACTATTGTCATCAATGAGTTACTAGCTCACAACTTTATACTTCAGGAAAAAAAAGTGTAGTTAGAACATCAAATTGAGACGAAAATATACTTCACTCGAGAGAATGCTAAAGGCAGACATACTAAAACGTGATTTCAACCATTCATAACGCGCCATTAACAATTACACTGTGAAACATTTCGGGTGATACTTTATTATCAGTTTAAGACTGTGTAGTTATTACCTAACTCGACCTACGATATTTTCTGGTGTAGGAGTAGGATGGAAGAAACCTTAGGTCTACCTAACCGAAACGTGTTATCAGTTCACAAAGTGATTGACTGTTGAATTAGGTTTTATTGTTCAGTGAAATCTGCCTGAACAGGGTCCTTATGATTATCGTGACCGATAGTGGACGACCATGACTGTTATGGATGAGAATAGGTTGCAAACGTGCAAATGCAGTTATTCTTTTTCTTTCTATTCCACGAACATTCACTCTTCTGAAATTATATTGTTTATTCTTGTTGTTTTCTACAACAACTAATAACTGTTACTACTTCTACTTCTCTGATATCTAAGTATAAGTAAACTGTGTGGAGGACCTTATAAATTTCATATAACTTTGAGTACCGTACTCGCCATTCAGTAAAAGTTTGTTGGTTTAGGGCAATTTTTGATTTAGAAAATGATAAACTTACAAAGTGTAAGGAGTTTTGAGCTGTATAATGAATTTTATCATGTGAGTTATTTCTTACACTGAAGGTAAAAGGCTTATGATCAGGGGTTGGGGTTATGAGTTGCGGTAATGAGATAGCTTTGAGTTTTAGGGTTTGGAATTACGACTAAGATTAGGATTTTCTTCACGAACTGACGTAAACGTTCATGCAAAGACTGAGGCTATAAACCATTCTTGCTTCCTAGCCATATGTGTGTAGGTGGATTTCACTCAAATACACATGAGGTAATATCTGTTTGGTTTTTCTGACGAATTTCATGTTATTCCAAGAACTTACGGGCTACCGTTAAAAAGTTTGAAGGACCGTTTATCACTCTTTTCCTTTGAAATTTAATGAATTTCTTATCGTCATTCCACAGATCGTTTATGTTCGTTCTAACTCTTCTGTCATGCCTTGTCTGTTGTTTTATTATGCGTCTTACAATTCCGCGCTGAAATGCAATAGCCTCTATCTTTCATCTAATTGGCTAACTTACGGTCGTTCTGCAGACGTCTATTTCGATAGTTTCGTTTTTCTGTAATGATATGGTTTAGCAACTTAAACTGATGTGCATATATTCCATGTCTTATGTTGCTTATGTCTGACTAAATGACTGATTGTGAAATTATCAGAGACCTAAAAGTTGATATTGGATGGAACAATTTGCTAGAGGTTGAATGTATTATTTCTCAATTTCTTATAAATTTATATTTGATTACTTTTCCATTTGTCCTTCCTTTTTTTCAACTCTATCTCCCTCCTTTTAATATATCACTACAATTGATATGAATATTTGAACTCATTTGTCTTTCATTTTGATGAACGTTTGTGAAATATAGGATTTTCCTTCGGTGTACATTAGTGCCTGATATTACATTGTTTATAATCGGTTGATAGCTGACTAACACCTACTGTATTATCACTACCACCGATTTCTTAGATTAACAGACTAATCATAATATTGCCTTATTTTTTTTTAATTACTTATTAAATTCTATACATTATTGAATAGCCCAATCACTTACACTGTTTATAAATCAAGTAACAACTCATTCTGAATGATAAAATAAATCTTGCATATTTATCAGTAAATTACAGTGTAGAAATCATATGATTCCTTTACTGTTCTAAATACTAATTACTTCAATTTTGTTGTGAATAATTAGTAGGAAAACTATATGACTTTCAACCATTAAAACTCAAGTTCAAAGTATACTTCATCTATGTCAGTTTAGATAATAGTGGAGTATTACTGTCCCTAGGGAAGAATAGTGTAGCTCAAAGCCGATTTCATAAATCTGTACTTAATCAGTATATGAAATTATCATGTTATTGTTGATTCGTATCTAGATGATATAGAGAGCTTAGTGATAAGACATCGTCTGATAATAAACCAATGTTCCATAGTATTTGGTTTTCAAATATGATACGGTTAGATAATTATAGAAATTATAAAAATAGAGGATTGTAGAGATTGTTGGATTTTTTTTAGTTTTACATTGATCCTAGTTAGACAACCATTGGAAACTACAATACACCGGATATCTGTTTAATCCATGAATGGATCTTTTCAACGGTGTACACCGGTGCTTAAAATTTAATCTTCTGAGTTTTCAATTGTTGGTTGATAATTGTAACTACAAAATTTAGCAACCCTTCATTAGTCAGTTATACGCAAAGTGGAGTTTGACACATGGACATTAATTAAAGTTGCTCCACCTCATTAAGATAGGAAAACAAAATTGTCAAAGCAAATCACTTCATAAAAAGAATCCATCGACTGTTTTTTAGTGTTTAAGTCCGAAAAGAAATCCCCGGAGTTTAGCATGAAACCGTGACCATAATATTTCAATTAAATTGAAGGTAAAACAAATTTCATCAATGATAATGTATAGTAGTTGGAAACTCTCATAAACTGATCGATGTTAGACACCATCGAATGCTAAATCAGTTGTCTGAAAGATAAATGCTTGACGTAAGAAATGATGGTTCTGAGTTTGATCCCTGGAAGTGATATGAATAGAAAGTTCTAAGGAATTCCAAAGTATAATAAAACAAATATCCAGTGTTTGTAGGTTTACAATAATTGTCTAATTCAGTTCATTGTAGCGTTATGGTCATCTTCTAATTCATACAATTAATAGGCTGGTTTTGTTTTTCTTTAATCATTTTTTAAATAATCACTTATTTGTATAGTTGTAGTGACATGAAAGCGTAAAATGTCAAATGAAATTGTTTAGTTAACTTATCAATCTGTTTTATTAATATACAAACACGTATGAATTTGATTCATTAATAAGTTAACATTGTAATGCCAAGTTAATGAACTCTCTCTCTGTGCGTAAGACAAAAAGATTCTGGATTACGGTCCTTGTGTGTTAGGTTATGTATGCACACTTTTGAAAAATCATAAAGCACAACGAAATAGATTAATTGCTCCCGAATGCCCTGGTACGGCCGGGAGTGGGAAAGTCAGCTCTCACTGTCGAAATGTTCTCATATGGCCACGTGCATACAGCCACTACCAGGGAAGTCCTACTCACTGCATTCTCGTGGCATTAGTATTGTCTACGAAGTTGAGATGGTGAAAAGCGAATGTCCTGTGCCTTAACCGGGTTGATGGACACGAACAGTTGACTTAGGGGAGTTGAAAAACTCTGATTCCAAATCAATGGTGCACATGGGCTCCACTATCCTGAGGGAACAAATGGAGTATCATGACACTGCATCTCCTGTCGTTGCTCCACTGTCTTATGGATCAGACTTTTAGGTCGAAGGTTCCGGGTATAGCCTCGTAAGTAAACCGCCTGCTTCGGTCCGGGCACCCAGGCAGTATCATAGCCCGCACAAACCAAGTGACTTGTGTGGCTCATATTTATTCTGTGCCTCTTAGTACCAATATTTATGTGTTGAAATTAATAAATAAATTGTCCCTATCTGTATTTATTCATGTGTGATTGCTTTTCCCCCCTGCTTTTATATCAAACTAGGTAGTGTTAGTAGTAATAGTGTTAGTTTGTGTTAATGTACATTTAATCTCATATAGATGTGTACATAATTGTTAAGGTAATTGCTCAGTAAACAAGTTATTTAATACTCTTGAAGTCTTCATGATGTTTTATCGTACTGATACTTCTCTTATCTTTCCAAAACGAAATCGTTATTAGAAACTTTATTGAAGAATAATCTTTAGAATTTAAATTGTGTACTTTTGTGTACATTCACTCCTTCTTCCTTTGTTTACATGAAGTAAATGCACTATTCTAAATGAAATATTCAAATATGTAGATGGATTTTATAAGTGGTCTTTATTTTTTGAGCTCTGTATAATAGTGCTAAATGATTTCAATATTTAATGAATTTGATAATTCAACACTTTCAATCATTATTCTATTGATTCAATACGTGATTGTTGTATATTAGAATGTAATTTTTGTTTGAGTCTTCATTTCAAGCATCTGATATTTTTCCTAGCTTCCTGTTCTAAATATTTCAATTTAGCCTAAACCATTATCCCAGGTTAAAACTAGGAAGGAAGGCCCAGGACAGAGTGGGCTGAAGGATGCTGGTCAGCGGCCTATATTTCATTTAGAGTAACAGGCGTAAGTAAGTATTATCCTAGGTTAAAAACACAAATAGAGGAAAGTTAGGACTTAAAGTTAATTTTCTAGTACTAATTGTACTTTAATATACACAACACTCAATCGATTAACAAATGAAGATATAGCCTAAAGCGCTGAGATGAACACGTCTATTGAACATTGAAAATGTTGCCGATAACGTTCTCTACTTTTATTGTCATTAGTTATGGTCACATGATCTTCAATAAGTTATCAATCCCTGAAATACAAATTAACACAAATACACCGTACTTTGGATTATATGATTTCTATTTGTAACTTATTGAATGAATACATACGTTTTCTATATAAGCCTT